GCCATTCAGACAGGGGTAAATCCCTTTCTGAAGGTACAGAATCAATAAGGCGGTTCTAGCTTAAACAGTATGTTAACCCTTTCGCGCATAGAGGTCACTGTAGCGAACGGCTACCATTGGCTCGTTCCACAGCTACACAGGCGTTTTTCATGACCTCCGGTGCATGCAGCCCTCTGTAGAGACATTGCTCTGTAGGATGTAACTATCGCCGATGCGGTAAATTTTTAAGCGCTTGCTTACACCCCAAATCGAATATAAATTGTTAACATAGGTTGCTGTCAAGGCTCAAAAATTCATGCGCGAAAGGGCTAACTAACATCAGTGGTTATGCGCCCATTATTGATGACGCAGCTACCAAGTTTCTCGCTACCAGAAGTCAAAGAGCCATCAAGTGTCTGGTGATCCTGAAACATTGCATAATACGACGGTGGCAAGCGCATGCCAAATGATGGGACCACTGTAGAGGTTATTCAGGGTTGACTGGACCGCCAAATCATCGTTGAGCGGGACGACAATATCGTCCGCACAATCAAGTAGTCTTCCACCAAGCAGAAGCCCAACGCCTGCATCGTCACGAACCGCAACGGAACACTCCAGGATGCAGTCTATGACGAGGTTGAACAAAAAAAACGGGAAAACAGGCAACGTTGACCAATGTCACTTGTTGTTGGGAAGATATCTGTTAAGTCACCTTACACCTTGACGCGGCCTGCGGTGTTTGAGTATATGGCACGAAAAATACTTACATATTTCATGGAAACACCTTTCCGCCCAAGTATTTCGAACAGAATTGATCGATCGGCTAAGCGAACGCACACTTGAAGTCGAAGAACACAGCTATTGTCGGTCTGTGGCATGTCACCCTGCTCTAGCAGCTGTATGAGAGGGAATATATGATGTATATAGACCAACCTTGGGCGGAAACCTGCTTGTTCTTCTCCAATCCGAGATTCTTGTTCCGTAGTGATGCGATGAACGGGAATTAAGCATAGTAATTTTGTCACCACCGGCGTTAGGTAAATATCCCTGTGATTAGCACAGTCGGTACGACTGATCTTCTTGTATAATGACACTAAATCGGTTCGCTCCAGTTAGCTGAGATGGTTTTTTTCTTCCAAACATCTTTGGATGAGGAAATCAGTGCTTTGCAGAGCATCTCATCACCAAGGTTAAATAGTGCGAGTGCGAGGGAATCCGGGCCAGCATCTGGAAAGCGGTTAAAGACCGTGATTGTGTTTCGAACATCAGCCTCCGATAGAGCCTCTAAACTATCCGTTCATGGTTCATCCTGCACCACTTGAGTAAGAAGGGGTCCGGAAACGGAGGGGGGGGGGCAACTGAATTGATCACGAAAGTGCTCCGCTTAATGACCCAAAAAGCAATTCCTATTGTGAATCAGGGCACCCGTGCTCTCCAAATGTTTCACTGACGCCTGGTTTCCTGGGATCAGTGGTGTGTATCAATCGGAAGAGCTTGCAATAATTTCCAATTGCTCCCGTCCCCTGCATTCTCTGAGTCCTACTACTCCAACAGGCTTCCTTGTCAGTACACAGGCTCCGAGTTAGTTCGTGCACAGTAGTCCGTCTGGTTGCATTATGCTCAGAGCCAAACTGTTATAATTGAGTCGCCACTGTTATGATTGAGGGAACGCCGCCTCTTGAGGTAATTGCGTGACAAGATTGTCGCTCGCACGCCTACGATGACGCTAGCTTAGCCGGTGAGACGGAAAATTGAACGAGCGTGGGAACGATCTTAGCCGCACTTGTTCGTATAGACGCTGAGGCCTCGAAAACGGACGCACACGAGAGGGGGTACAATAGACGCGCGCTAATGACTTAGACGCGAAGGCTGGCCAGCTAACGATTCACACGCAATCACGCGACCCGACCGACTCCCAACTGAGGCGAAGAGAAAGAAAAGACAAGTGGTCCTCTGTAGGCTCTTTTACGACCGACAAAGGGCGATCACAGTCAGTGCTATGGGTTATTAAGTTAGGGAAAACAGTCCCCAAGCAGAGGTGGTAGATTGCAAATGAACATTGTCAAAAGGTTCGCAGTTGGGACTCGCCTCGGAGTGGCTGAACACTGCTGCGTTGTGGGGAGAAATTGGACTCCGCTTCCCACAGCCATTATGCCGGAGTTACTGGCGCGTTTTTTGCGGGGATTTTTGACGGGCCCGCAACACAAACAGGTTATTCTAAATTCCAACAGACTCATCGATCTTTCGCATATCCAGTGACTAGTGCAGTGACGGCTGATAGCGTCGGCGGCAGAGGATCCCGCGTCGTGTATGACTCAATGTCATTCAGACGGGAGAGCGAAAGTTCGATATGCGGGACCAGCTGGTAGGTTTGCCTGACCGAGGACTGAAATAACTTCCCGGTTGCCAATCGAGAGGTGCTTGGTACGCCTCTCAGTAAATTCATGGAGGAAAGACAACGTACCAAGGCATGATCAGGATTGACGCAGATATTCCAGAACAAGCGACAGTCTAGAATGGAACCACGCCACTGGGTCCATCGCTGTGCCTAAAAGTCGTGCTACTAAGAAACAGCTGGTGTTCCGCGTACAGTCACAACAGATGCTCACTGTTTCTGTATGATTAGATTTAAGTCCATAAGTAAGTCCAATAGCCAAGCTTCTGAGAAACCAAGATGACCTAGTTGCGCATTCATATCTCATGAAACAGTAACGATATCTGAACTGCGAAGCAGTGTATTCAGTACTTGGTAGGTGTTCTTGACAGCATCAGAAGTGTAGTCGGTGGGAGCATGAGCGGCAACCACAAACAAACTACGCATAGCGCTACTTAGTGAATCAACGTTAGCTGTAGTCGTCAAACAAACTGCACACCGGAATCCAATCAACCAACGATGACTCAGTCCTAGAGCTAGAGAAGATGCCCACCCCAGCTTGACCAGTGGTTGCCGCAACAGCGTCATCGGATGCGTGCAATCAATAGCGAGAGGACAAGACGGGCGCAGTAAGTTCAACAAACGCGTGAGGATCTTTGACCCCGGTTTCGGACATACAGCACACGTCAATACTAAATGTGTCCAACTTGCTTGCGAGTGCAGCTTGCTGACCAATTTGTCTTAGAGTGCAAACGTTGAGAGCCATCACGAAAACGGGACAATGCGGCCTTATAAGGAGCTGTCGGCGATTGGTTTCCAGTGGGTGATGCAAATGGCGTGACTCCAGTGACATTGCGGCTACTGTAAATTAAGCTGGGAAATATGGACAGTTAGTAATGCGGTTCAGCAAGGGGTAAGAGAAACAGATGGAAAAAAGAAAGAAAGCACCAACCGTAGCGTGTTTTCGCTCATTTCCCCCTGTATGCAACAGATAAAATAAAAAAAATAATGTGTCAGCTGTAAGCCGTAACGGCGCTTCGCTGCCACGCGACCACCATCAGTCGCACGCGGGCTGAGTATACCGAGAGGACGCCCACCTCTACGCGGATTCGAACCGGTGACCTTATGGTTGCAAACCAAACCCGCAGACCACTCGGCCACCGGCCGACATGCAAGATAAGACGACCCTTGATAAGCTGCGCGACGGTCGATGCAGGATGTGGTTGAATTTTGAGATATTCATAGTTAGACGTGGACAGACTTAGTTAGGAGGACGACTAGGGTCCTCAACCAAAGCCTTTGACTCAAAAGCCAGTCCGCAAGGCAGCGGGGAGGTGGCAATGATTTGGTTTTACATAAATAGACGCCATCCCATTTCCAACTCCCGATTTGGAGACTATGTCTGACCAACCTGGTAAGAGTAGCTTTCAAGGGACGCGGGGACACCCTCTCACCATAGCTCAATGAGTCGAGAAGGTACGCAAATTGTCGTACGGTTCAGTCTCCTTGAGATTCAGCAAGAAATAGTTTACACCACATCATTTCATCGATGCTATCAATACAGTATCGGAAGCGGACACCTTATTTTTCCTTCTAAAGGAGATATTGCGGTTGAACTGATGAAGAGAAAGCTTTCGACCAATACTTCCGCCAATACGAAAGTACTTGTCAAAGTAGCGTGTTGATTTATTAGCGCCTGAAGTGCAGACCTCAGGTCTTGTCCGAATCACCCATTTCACTTGCACCTGTGGTGCAAGGTGCATCAGACAGACGACCAGGTGCCGGTCCAAAGTGATCGATGGACAATACCCTGTGTCCCTACAAACGGGTGTAGTAAGGAACAAAGATACTTCTATCTTTGAGCATTCGTTTGGAACGGGACACGAGATTTAGGCTGATGAGTTGTTCATAGTCAGCTATGCCATCTCAAAAGGACTTAAGAAGCACCACTTGTCTACGGCCGAAGTCATCGCAATTAGATCCTTGAAGCCGGAACTGTGCGAACAATGGACGCAGACACATGTCCATGAACATGCTTCGGTGGGACTTGTTCTTCTAAAACACGATAGGCGACCGGCACTTGTCGCTGCTGTTCTGCTACCCTCAACCACATATATGTGGGTTTTGTTAAAGTTGTCCAGTTCAACTGATTAAGGCAATGAACCATGGCGTGCCATGACGTAGCTTTCCCAAGTTAGACCTAGCTTTCAGCAGCCACTCGATTATCGAATTTTACTTTATGTTCGAAAATGCCCGTAAACTTTTTTATTTTATAGAAATTATTTACAATTCAAATAAATTACAATCGGATGCAGATGTTATCCCCCACGAGAAACTGCAGGAATTAGACCACAAACGCTTATAGTTTACTATATAAGCGATTGAATCAAGTTGGATTTACCAGTGAGCAAACAACTATGCACACAGAGAAATGCCTCCGATAGATAGGCTCCGAAGAAGGGAAGTTGACTCACTATGGGTTCTACATTGACAGTAGAGAATAGCATGAGATGGTAAGTGTGCTGAAATGCTACTTTTCGGTCAACAGACTGACCCCAGTCTAGCGCTTATTCGGTTTCCTGGAAGTAATGTAAAACATGCAGCCACGACTACTATCAAAGACAAACAAGGCACAAGAGTAACACGAGGCATCTAACTGCGTTTCTAGGCACAGCGCTACAAAGACCAAGTAAGCTAGATCTGCCAATGGCATCACATTACGATATATCGGATGGAATGGAATTATTCGGTAGGGGCGCCTCACGATTACGTGTACGGCAGAGGATACGGGTGTCAATTTGAAAAGCTGGCCAGGCAGCCATTACAAAACTGGCAAACAATGCAGTAGCAGCCGCTATGGATAGAACCGCACCGTGAGAGTGACGAGGGGATAATGAAAGTAATTGGTGGCGGATAAAATGTCATGAATGAGAGAAATAAGCCACATATATGAGCAAACGTAGTTGAGGTACCGGGGATGTGGGAGACCGGAACAAATAGAGCGGAGTCACAACGCGTTAACTTTGGCATCATCTGCAAGTAGAAAATGTGTGTGTATTTAAGTCAAATGTGAAAGACATGAGAATAGGAGAGAAAAAGAACCATTAAAATGGGACCAGTTGGTGGGGGACATCGCGAAGAGTGCACATAAAATCACATTGGAGGGTCAAGAAGTGTCGCACGCCAACGGAATCGTAGGTCAAGTAACTGGAAGCTACAAATCTTGTACGGTAGAATTGACTCCACCAACGACCGAAGTTGGGGTTTCTGATCCACAGATAGAAAGGTTGGATGGGAGTGGCTGGTCGGAAACGGAAGCAGCCGTTGGGGCTTCGGAGCCATTGCCGTTTGGGGATACTGAAGTGATTAGCAATGAAGTAAGAGAGAGCTAGTTAAATAGCAATAAAACAATAACGAGAATGAGTCATATACGAACGCAGGCTCAGATTACTGGGTAGAGATGAGGCAGAATAACGTAAGTGCTAACTGGAATTATGATGTGTATAAGACAACCTTTCAGTATACACACTTTCAGTATACTTGGAATGGACCGGAAGTAATAAAAAAGCAAAAGGCATGTTTCAACAAAACTAGTGCGATAAGAAAGTACGATTACACTTTAAAGTGAAACGCGGCAACGACGGTAACTCGGTGCCATCCACAACGGTAGAAATAAATTCGGTCACATAAAGTCACCTATTGGGATCAACGGCCGGCAGCAACCACAGAACACTGCTCAAGGTCGCAATCGAACGATAAACTGCATACACAAGCAATACATGCTGACGGCAATGCAGTCATGTGTCAGCAACAACTGGAGATAAATGGGTTGAATTTAGTGGGGCAAGCGGTACTTGCATCTCTGTATATAGCGATTTCTACTTCAAACTAAATCAAGTTAGACACTTTATTTTTACACAGGGCAAGGAAGAAAATAAGATCGTCAAAAATAGTCAAGTAATGATGGTTAGCACTGTTGGCATCTTTGTCAAGTTCATTGTAAGACTGAGGACGCAATTCGTGAAGTTCCGCGGCCTCGCCACTCCAACGATCTTTTGAACGACTATTCAGTGCGGTTGTTGCTGCTGACGTCAAGCTGATCCCAGCATCCATCGACACACTTCCTGAACTGGACCATGTTCGGGCCATATTGCGGTCAGGCCAATGCAATGTGAATTGGATAAGCAGTGGGCTTCAGTGAAAATATTTTCCTTACCATAACCGTGACCTGATCGGGTCCTGCGTGTCGTGCTCCTCGATCATAGGCGGTGACTCAAATGTCACCAGCCACTCCGTCGGCCTTCGTGCGCTGTGTGTGCATGAATCTGTGCAGTTGCGTCACTATTAGAAAGTTTGGGTAGAGAACAGCGCAGGCTATTGGGAATAAATCAAATCAAACCTAGCCGCGAATAATTAGCCTACCACCTGACGAAAAGGCCAAAATGTGCAACGAACGACGAGAAAAAGCGCCTTCGAGGCAACGCAGGTCCAAACGAACGTCTCTAGCGCAAAAAGAGATCCTTACCAAGCATGTATTCGTGGCACCGAAACCATCCATGAAACTGCTGGTCACCGATATCAAAGTGAGCACAGTCAACAATGTCTACCAACGAGAAACTACCACTGTTTAGCATAAACGTGCTGGAAACAATGGACGGAAACTGACTCCATACATTCTGCAGCACATCGAAGAGACCGTTGAAAAACATTTCGTGCAGATACAGCACAGCGGGATTCACTTTTCCATATCTACGATTTTCAACACCCCAGAAAGCTAAAGATCACGCTCAATAAGTGTCACTACGAGCTAAACCGCGCCAATACTGTCACCACTATTGTAAATCTATACTCTCGAATTCTCTGTACAAGGAAAAGTACATCTCCATAGACCAGAGTGGGTCCAAACTCCATCTACGACGAACACGGGCTCGCTCAAGAGGTGGACTGACGTCATTCTGCCAACAGTCAGAGGCCGCATGGTTGTGATGGGAGTGGTGTATCGGTTGGAGCAAACATACCAGTGAGATCTCCGAGCAGATGTCAACCGAACGGTCTCGGCTATTGGCCGTGCCAAGCTCTGTTGATTAAATGACAGTTTCCAACTGTTGCTAACTGGAGTTGCGAGGAAACACTATTGGTAGAACTGCGTAGTTAGTAATGGTATTGGCTGGACAACATGCATGGAAGCACTGTGCAAAGGAGCTATGCTGCATGTATCTGTCCCTCGATTGTACCCCAATAAATCGCTTATTATTGGGGAACAGAGTTTTATGACGACGGGTAAGCTAATTTTGGCGATGAATAACCAAGAAACAGTTCATGTAATGATTATCAACAATGTTCATCGAGAAGCTTGTGGTGCATATGCATTGCAGGGTGGAAACGAACGGTGCACGGCTGATCATGGACAACCCCAAGATCCGCATAGCAGACAATCTAAGGAAGAATCTGCGCTCGCCTAACCACTGAAGTTTCTGTCGTCGTATGTTTACATGTTAAACCAGATGGAAAACGTGTTTTCGTAGGTGAAAGCGTCAGCGAGATGCCTGCTAACTAGCCTGACCAGATGATAGGTGCGGTCATTCAAGACAGCATCAGAGTGGCACTGTGGTAGGGTTGCATAAATTGCGCCCCTCATACGATGATGAGCTTAACGAAGTCAGCAGCATGGACTGTGACGTTGCCATCGTCTGCTTCGCTAATATATTGCCGATATACTGCACAGAATAAAATGTCCAGCTTAATCTGAAGAATCTCCAGCAAATTCTCCAAGTCCAACTTCCAATCTCCAGTTTAGTTTAAAAAACGTCCAAGTTAAAGTGAAAATGGTACATATTGGACCACCGGCAGTATGCGGGCAATTGACTGGTCGAGATCCACGCATCGAAGTGCGTCGAGTTCGCGTCAGTGCACTGAGGAAACTTGATGAAGTGAGATAATGGAGGAGAAAAGGCAAACAGGTGATTCCGAAAATCGACTGATGAGAGGACCAGTGGTTGGACGCCAGACAGGGAAATTCACAGAACTGCTGATTATTCAAGAAGCATAATATGATGCCAAGCATTGTGTTGCCTGTTTCTTGGCTTTTATTTTGTATTCTACAGTATTTGTCTCAATTTTTCTATATCGCTTATCGTCTTGTATTGCGGCACAGCAGCTGAGGTGCTCTTCACTTTTAGTGAACGTGATGATGCCGACAACAGTCGGCCAAGTAGAATGAAGCATGCAGTCACTAGCGTTACCGGCCCAAACAGCGCTGTCCGACCTGTCGACCAGTTACCTGGTTAAGCAGCCGAAGCAGCAGTATGAAAACAATGCAAAGCGAGCGTCAATGATTAATTACACTGCAACAACACTTTCTATAACAGAAATGAGATAGGATGTTCGCAGTAGTACCAAGTGAGCTGATTAAGAATATGCAAACCAAAGGTTCCTATTACGTCGGGTTTTTGTTTAATTCCAAGTTTTCATTTCAGCTAAGCAGTGCACCGAATGTTCCCTTGTGATTGGTCCATTGGCGCCTTGTAATGGTGGAAAAGAAGTCCTCTTGCCCATGGCATCCACCTGACACTGAAATTGCATTGAGAGCTAAATAAACAAATAAACGGCTTATTCTCGACAACGAGGCACACCTGTGATATCTTGATCATGGCTAAAAGACGCTGCTGTGTCAATGTGTCATTTTTGTTACGTCTGTGGGCAGTTTACTACAAAGTCGCAGTGCAGAACCATGTCTTCACTATAGAAATGTGCCTACCACGCATATTTCGGGATGAAACTGGGAGATCAGGATAAGAAGTGGGTACCGCGTATTGTTTGTGTATTGTGCAATCTTCATCTGACTCAGTGGCTCAAGGATAAAGGCAAGACGCCTTTGCAATCCCCATGGTGTGGAGGGAGCCGAAAGATCACATGACAGACTACCACTTCTGCCTAACCAGTCTCATCGATTACTACAACCGAAACAAGAACAAAATTCATTACCCTGATCTTCCATCAATTATATGACTCATCCCTCATGATTGCACCTTACCCATTCCAATGCCTCCAGTGAATATGCCACTGATGATGAGTAGTGATTCTGTAACGTCAATTTCACTTGATTCTGGCATCCGTGAAAACGTTGAAGCTGATGTTGTCAACCCACATTCTATTGAACAATTAGAGCTGAGTGACTTGGTACGTGACCTGGGCTTGCCTAAAGACATGGCCGTTGTTGGCATCTCAGCTGCAGCAGTGGCACTTACTTACTGCAAACACGAAGGTTACTGTATACAGAAAGCGGTTAACTTGTCCGGTTTCTATGACACGAGAGAAACCTTTTGTTACTGTTGCGACGTGGAAGGACTGATGAAGGAGCTTGGTGTCAGGCATATCAGCGATGAATGACGTTCGTTTATTCACTCGTCTAAGGCCATACTGCTCCACAATGGAAATGTGTACCCACCAATATGAAGGAGAGTTAGGAAAGTATGCAACAAATACTCGTTGCACTAAACTACGATAAGTACTATTGGAACATCTGTGCTGAATTCAAAGTCATTGGGTGCTTCACAAAATATTGATGTTTCTTGTGCCTATGGGACAGTAGAGCAACTCAACAGCACTACACAACCGAAATGGGACCAGCGAGGACGGAGTATGCGGCAGGGAAAATGAGTGTACAGCACACACCTCTTGTGCAACCTAACCATATCTATCTACCACCAAGCACATCAAGCTTGATTTGATCAAACACTTAGTCAAAGCCCTCAAGCGAGAATGTTTCACGTTCCAATACCTAAAAAGGTGTTTCCGAAAATCATTGATGCGAAGCTCAAAGAAGAGGTACTTACTGGGCCAGATATTCGCCGAATAATGGCAGACAGTGCTTTCAAATTCTAGTTGAGTTCATTTGAGTGAGAAGCGTGGCGATCATTCAAGGCACTGTGTACAGGATTTTGAGGTAGAACACAGACGTCACAAAAAGCTCTTTGCGGACTATCACGCTGTTGTTGCTCGAATGTCACTCAAGATGTACCTTTTGCACAAGCACCTTGACTTTTTCCATGAGAACTTGCGATGAGCATGGTGAGTGCTTTCACCAAGACATTTCAGTCATGGAGCAGCGATACAGTGGCAAATACATGCCTTCTATAATGGGTGACGTTTGCTGGTTTCTACAGCTTGAAGATGCTGGTTTATACAAGCGAAGATCTCAGAGAAATCATGATTCTCTAGTGCCAAGCTGCAGCCAGTAGTTAGCGGAGAGTGTTACAGTGATGTTTTAAACGTATTTGTCACATAGATGCATTTTGCAGATGTTGTGAATCAGTACATTTACATATAACTTGTACGACGTAGCCTTGACATTACTGAAAATAATTATTTGCTTAGAACAATGTAACCTGACGTTGTAGGTAACATCGGAATGCATTACTATAATTAGTGGAGGTTACTCTATAAGGTGAGGACATTGGTATTTCCGTTACAGAAAATAATATTTGTTGTTGCAGTGTTATTGTCAGCAGGCTAGTGGCATTCGACAGAGTTCGGTAGCATAGTCTCAGAGGCAGTCCCTCAATCGAGACGTGTACTCGATGGTTGACGTATATGTGGATCAAGGAACGGCCCAGAGGTGAGACATCGGAGGCTGACACAACGAACTAGGCACACATAGCAGGAAGCCACAGATGAGTGTGCGTGACTTCTAGGGTGGATGTAAGCTAGTGGTCATTAACCACTTAGCTTCTAGACGCGTGATACATATGCTTAGGCAAAAGCAGAGCACCAATGAAAAACACAGATACCCCATTAGCCTTGAGAACGGTCAGAGGGATGAGCAGAATGTAGGTATAAAAACTGGAGGAAGCGTGCCAATAAGTGTTGAAAATTGTCATATTTAACATAAAATAAAACAGGTTGAACGGGTACATAATATGTAATCATGAATGTACAGAGGTATCAACCAATAGTAGCCATAAATTAATTTGTACATCACTATGGTTTGTTTTCATACCCAGTTACGGGCAAACCAAGCAGACCGTGGTGGCTGAAGATCTTCCGAAAAACGGCGACCGTGTCGGGTTAAGTCGCTTGGCAGAATGCTACTACTTCCAGCAATTTGGAGTAAGCGTCAACAAAGCACGACACTTTCGATTGGATCAGTGAACTGAGGGTGGAGATCAAGGCGATTATCAGGAAACTGACGCTTTCCTGATGGTATCTTGGTGGTTTGTTGGCATTTGAAACACACACTGGTAAGTCACTGCAGCTCATCGCTCATACCAGACCAATAGAAGTAAACGTACATGCGATCGTTTTCATTGCGCCGAAGATCGGATGGCCAAAATGAAACTGGTGGAGGGTACTTGAACGGAGACAACGGTATCATAACTCGGTTGGTGACGGTAAGGGGTGAAACGTTAGCGGTCAATAACTCGCAGTGGTAAAAAGCGGACAAAATTTACATTGAGTCCAAGTGCAGATTAGTGTGTTCTGATAAGAATGATAGCTGTTGACCAATCCCCAACGTTCTCATGCCACGACTGGAGGTATCTGCTGCCGCCATAGCTGGTATCACCGGACCGCAATGTGCCAGCAAGAGGTAATAGCGCAGAATGATCTTGAGCTTGGTTGATGCAACTTTACATCTGGTGAAGCAGGCAAGTTGTACAATCTTTGCAGGAGGAAATTCCGTGAGACGGGTGCACTGTGCACGATGATACAGACGTGTACCGTAGTAGCCAATGAGTGATCACAGTATAGAAGCATCTAACGGTGAATCGATCAAATGTTTTCGGGATTCAAACAGCAATGTTCGGTGTAGAATGTGAAACCGAAGTATCTGATCTGTTGAAGGAGGATCTGGCACCTCACGGTTCAGGAATGGAAACCGAATTCTCGTATGTCAATGGGATTACACGAGAGCCGGTAGACACTCATGTATCTGTCTGAACAGTCGAACATGTCGCCCAGCTGATCGATTGAGAGCGACCGCATGCAACATCAATGTACGGAGAGCTGATTACAGTGGGGTAAAATAGTGTCTATTAAAATGATAAAGCCCAAAATATATGTATGGTTTCGTTATAAGTGCACATCCACAATAGAACACAAATCATTAACGAACATACCGGTTTCAGTGGACGTCGAAGTGAGAGAGAGAGTTTCATCGGGCGACGGTTCTGCGGGCTCCGAGACATTGCAAGGAGAGGTAATGTTATTCTCAGGTGTTGGGGGAAACAGCTGATCCAGCAACGATGGTGCGAAAGTGGAGAGTTGTAGGGCTGTCAAATCCCAGAGCATTCGTTCAGTACTATGGAGTTCAGCGTCCCGTAGTAATATGGGGGGAGTGTCATGAGTGCCCGTGAACATAACTAGCAGAACGTTTTTCAGCGATTCCCGGACAGCATCCGTCTGCATGGGAGGTGGAAAGAGACGAGGAATAAGTGGAGGGGATTGCGACGGGAAGGAAAATAATGGAACAAGAACACCCAGTACGAAAATAGCAATTTCGTAAAAGTATGGCCGAGAATGCGTGGCATACTCGTCCCGGCTGAAAGCACCAGGTGTAGGTGCGAATGAATACATGATATGTGCCTAAAGAATTGTATGTTTTATTATGGTCAAACTCGAAAATAGTATTGGCTGATTGGGGACTGAAAAAGTATGGCAAATGGCTGATATATCGTTATCCTAACTATTTTTGTATAATCTGAATCGGGTCTCAAGAATCAAAATGTTGGAAGCTTGGTGATCGTATGTACGCTAACAAACAACTTGACCAGTCTAGACAATACCGTGAGAGAGCGTACGATACCATCTAGTGCTATTTGAAAACATACAAACTAGCAACACATTTAACGATCAATGATCTGAATACTGTCAAAAAGGAAAAGAAGACGCATAGTGGCATAAGCCACAGTAGAATTACTAGTTGTAAAGCGAGTGTCACGGGCTCCAAAGAAGCTTCAGTGTGACAACAGTTTTTGAACACTAAGGTCCGGACGACGGTGATTAGTGGTCACGGACTCATCGAGCGTGAGTATTTTAGCGTTTGTGTTGCAATAGATAAACGTAAACGCCAACTCAGAATAAACCTGCACTGAGTATGTGTTTAGTAATCAAAGAGGTAGGCATTTTTGAGTTTGACAGCTGTCCCAGTGTTTGTTTTGTCAAAGTGACAGCAACCCACTTGGGAATATGCTCTCCAATATGCCTACGCATACGCCGAGCTGTTCTTCCAATGTGGCCGTTTCCTTAACCACAGATAGGACGTTAAGTGTAATGCGTCGTAGTAAAGATCGGTTGGGTAGGTTTGATCTGAGGCGTTGGTAGCTTCTTGGTTTAAAGCATCGTGTTCCCTGTATCAGTCTGAACAAAATAGTAAGAAGACGAGCACTGCAAGATGGCACCATTTCGTATTACCTGATCATTTGCAAGCTAACAACATATATAGACCACGTAAGGAAAGGAAACGATCGTTTTGAATTGGTCAGAAAAATGCACACAAACAATAGCTGGTAGCGCTTGGGCAAAGGTCATGAACCCCAAGGAAGCTTAGGGACCACTGTCAATAGCTTTTGCACGCAAAGGGTGGGACGATAACGATTTAGAGACACAGCCTCGGCAAACTTCAGCACTCTGGCGTTTTGGTTCCGGTAAATAACCGTAAAAGTTGATCCAGGGTCAACTTGATGACCTGTACTGATTAGGTGTCTAGCGATGGATGATGCCAGCAGCTTGCCTGCTGCTCCTTGTACGGTTGCTTGTTGTGCCATCAGCTCAGCAATTTGCTTCGGAATGTGCTCTCCAATCCGCTTACTCAGACAACATCTGTTCTGCCCACGTAATTGCTTCCGCAAGTACAGACGAATTGGTAAATGCAATGAGTTGTGGAGGAGACCGGTTGAGTAGGTTTGATTGGGGACATCGGCAGCTTTTTGGTTGTCCAGATAGGACAGAGTTTGGCAGCGTTGAATGTACGGCGAATAGCTGTGTTCACCCGTCGTTCAATTTGCGCCATTACCACATTACCTTTGAAGAGTAGCTGTAAATAGACGGGCATTTTGGGCACAGTAAGTACTCTTGGTTTGCATTCCTTCGGGTGACTGTAAAACCTGATGAATGCCTCTAGATATCAATGGCCCGTAATGTCTGCGTGATGAAGGATAATTCCGACTGCACACTGTCAGCACTGCATATTCTACAGGCACGATCGAACAACGTCTTGACAAGGCAACGTTTGTATTGGACCGGTGCAAAGCTATTGAAGTTCTCATCTAGGCCTGCCCATGTAGTTTTCCTGTAAACAGAGCGTTTTATTGAATCATCGTCTCGTCTTGTCAACAATACATCCAGAAAAGCAAGACAATTGTTATCTTCTAGCTCACAGGTGAAACGAGCGTTAGGATGTGCATTGTTAAGGGTACTGAGAAGAGACTAAACAGTCTCTACACTTGGGGCAATCACGGAGGTGTCATCCGTATGTCGCCTGTACAGGCACATCTGGTTTAGGTAGAATTCACACCAATTCGTCTGTACTTGCGGAAGCAATTACGTGAGCAGAACAGATGTTGTCTGAGTAAGCGGATTAAAGAGCACATTCCGAAGCAAATTGCTGAGCTGATGGCACAACAAGCAACCGGACAAGGAGCGGCACGCAAGCTGCCGGCATCATCCATCGCTAGACACCTAATCAGTACAGGTCATCAAGTTGACCCTGGATCAACTTTTACGGTTATCTACCGGAACCAAAACGCCAGGGTGCTGAAGTTTGCCGAGGCTGTCTCCAAATCGTTACCATTCCACCCTTTGCGTGCAAAAGCTATTGACAGTGGTCCCTAAGCTTCCTTGGGGTTCATGACCTTTGCCCAAGCGCTACCAGCTATTGTTTGTGTGCATTTTTTCTGACCAATTCAAAACAATTGTTTTCTTCCCTTACGTGATCTATATATGTTGTTAGTTTGCAAGAGATCAGATAACTTCTTGGTTGTCTAAAAGGGACAGCTTGGTAGCAATGAATGTCGGCCGAGTTGCTGTGTTTGCACGTCACCCAACTTGACTTGTCCCGAGATTTCCTTTGAATGGTGACTGGAGATAGGCGTGCAGTTTTGACATGGTAGGAGGCTTATGTTCGTCTTTCCATCGATCGGTCACCGCATTTGCCGTAGCGTATTTGTAATGAACTGCAATACAGACTGCGTATTTAGGAAACGCAATGCTTCAAAGTTGATCAGCGTCCATGGATAAACCGACGATAATCGGAATAGAGCAGAACCACACGGCAGTCAGATTGACAGCAGCATTTATAAATAATGAATACACATAAATAACTTTTATTCTCGAAAATGCCGGATACGACTGTATTGGCATGATCGGGTAAGTGCATACTTTATAGAACGATGATCACAGGTTGATCAGGAAAATTGAATGTCAGATCAGATAATGATGTTTGGAACGGCAGCAAAGATATAGTGAATGGTTGATTGAATCGAAACGATGTCGGCGAGCCAATGGCTCTTCCCTCACATTTATATGTGAGAAATAAGTCACAGGAGAGAGTACGAGATAATGAAACATGTGCTGGGTCAGATAAAACCAGGACCGTGCTCCTATGTGTATCTTGTTGTTACAGAACAAGCAGTTTGATCACGTGCTGTACAGGCAAAAACTTGTTGATGCTTTTGCGCAATTCGAGTTCAAGAGTGCAGGCAAGTAGACCGAGTGGTAACTTGTTCCAGAATAGTGTACTTGTTAAGGAAAAAGTTCATTAATCTGCTAGTACTGGCCTTGCATTCCGCCACTCAGTTATGTTTGTTTTGTGTGCATTATTGTTATGTTGAGGTTGGGAATATGTATATTTCTGTGCAAGATGTCAAAAAATATAACTAGATTATGCTTCATGCGCCATAGCCCGAGCTTAGCACATCGTTTAGAATATTAGGTTTCAAGAAACAACTAGGAGGCGTTTTGTGAATATCTATGTACTTGTTCTAGTGCAATGCGGTCTCGCTCTTTTTTGAGCCGCTACACACCATTGAACAATATTCTAACGTGTGTCGAACAACTGCTAGGTAAGAATGAAATATTGATTCACGTAAGGAAGAGTCCTGAATATCATCAATCTAACTTCCTGCCATGCGCGCATGGTGGCATGGCCTAGGTGTGCACGGAAGTCGAGTGACTATAAATATCGTAATCTCAGATCTCTTACTGTAGGACAAATTAAATGGTTTGCTCACAAGAATCAAGCAGCTATGGGTCAAATCGCACTTGTGGGACATTGTACAATATTAGTCACAACAGAGAATGACATTTTCCACTTTGAGCACCAGGTTTCAAGCGCATGGAGTTCGAGCTGGATCATGTTGATAGCATCACTCGAGGCATCCGGACCGAAAATGTACACTAGTTTAACGTCATCAGCAAAAGAGGTAGGGTGTACCGAATGTTACCAAGTCGAAGAGATCGTTAACATATAGTAAGAGCAGTAGCGGCCAAAGGATATCAAATTGTATCACACCATTGGTGTAGACTCAGGTTTGTATTCTTGAATTTGCACCACCTGCGTTCGACTGGTTTTTCATGAGGAACCCGATCAAAGGCTTTGTGCATGTCGAGTTGTAGACATACCAAGATAATACGATGCAGTTATATGGTTTACCAGAAGTAGGATGGCGCAAGGTCCGAGGAGGGCAAAAATTAAATTGGAAGCAGAAAATGAAGGCGTTGACGACCCAACTCGGTGCCGTCAGTCCGCCTCGCCTTCCAAGCTGGAATCCACGTGACCCGCCTTGTGCTTAGCTCGCGTGGTTACAGGACATAGCTCGTAGTCGAGAACAGCGCGTGTCTGCTATCGTCTCCTAGTCGGATTACGTGTTTAAAGTGTGTTTGGCGCTGAGTTATCTGTGGGGTAATGACTGAGTATGACGCGGGGCAGTGAAAGCCGCAAGGAAGCTGTCTCGCCAAGGCCGCCTTATCTTTACACAATAGTCAGCTGTTTGTGACGGTATGTTATTGACAAGGTGTAGGCATCATGACTCCGAGTGTTTGTTTAGGACATTAAGGTTTTACCGTAGGTCTCGCTTTTCTCCCTCCTATTGTACTTCGTTCCGTAGGTCACCGTGGTTGTACGGCAGCGAAGCATCAGTTCAAGTGGCTGATGAACTGCTGTTGTTGGTGAGGATGATGCTTAGAAATTCCAGGTGGCACGTGATGAAAGACTGATTATTCAACAAGCCGTGTTGAGAGTTGTAAATTAGTTCTCTTGATAGTAGGAATTTGACAATTTTAGCTATAAGACGTCGTTCCAAAATTTTTGATAAAACAAAAGGGGCAATAATTCCGAATCTCGAACAGCGAACCTGATTTATATCACGGCATAACCATGACGTGACACAGTGCCGGTGTTCATGGATAAATTGAACATGCTCAGCAGTATCAGGGGGATGTCATTTCCGCCCAATTTCACGAGTACGGAAGGAATTTTGTCTGGACACCCGAAATATAATAGTGTTGTGCACCGGAGAAGTTTGTGAACCATCGAACAATGTCGGGTCAGACAACCTGGAACAAAGCCGGTAAGCCCTGTAGGCCGGAAAAGGAGGACTCGAAATGAGGTCAAATAGATTTCTAAGTGGAATAAAGGATCATCAGCATCTCTCCTGAATGCACCCAACTAGTGAAGTGTTTCAAATCGAAACAACGAGAAACCCAAGTTACCCATTGTGCTGCGGATGCAAAGCGGGCGGTTCCCGGTAGTAGCTGGAAAGAGAAAAGTCGATATGTCGGTGCAATAAAAAAGAGCATGCAAAACGGTCTGATCTGCAAGCAGAAGTGGCACATTCTTAGACTCCAGCCAAATGATGGGCGGTTGCTAAGATTTCCCCAACTACCTCCAGAAAAAATACGAAGCGTCGGTCAGTGTTTCAGATTCCGCGACAATGGTGTTCGACAGATGCGCTACATAATGTGCATGGTCCATACAATTACCAATGTTTGATACCTGCATTGGTCTAGGCAACTTGGTAGTGTCAGAGTCAGCAATAACAGTTGACATCTCCGGAATCAAAAGCCTAGCTAGCGACAGAGTTTTTTGGGGGGATTCTGTTGCACTTTAAAAAACAGATCAACTTTCTGCTTACTGTAAGCAGTCTGAGATGACAGAATTTGGGGAAGGGCGTCCGAAGTAAAGACGATTTCAGATGGCGGTCTTCGTCGTCCGTGGAAGTGATGGAAATTGTGATCGGTAGAAAGCCGAACCTACAGAAGCCCGTGTGATCGATTCTGCTCGATCGATATGAGAAAAGCAGCGAGTTTTGTCAACGAAAGAAGTGCCAAACACTGAACGTATCAGAGGGACAAAACTAGTTTACTTACGAGCGAGGTCAGTCAGTTCCGCGCTAGAGCACAGTTTTCGATACACGCGTGATATACGGGCATAACAAGTACTCAGGCATGAGAAAGGCGGATGTAAATTGATTGAGAGAGGCGATAGGTCAACAACCAAGCGACCGCAACAATAGTGTCGAGTTCAAAAACTATATGAAATCTTTCTTTTACCTGGCGAGGTTACTGGTTAACTCGTTTATACTTAAGCGAAGTTACGAAGGGACTCCCCTACAAAGGATGTTATTTAGGCCGTGAAGCAAGCGGTAAAAACTGAATCTGTAATCGAGAACAAATGTGGAGAATTTTTCAAATAAAAAATGGACAGTGTAATCAAAGTCGTAATTAAAACGATGCAACCAACGTACCAACGAATCGGAAGTGCTTGCATGCATGTAGTGTTTTATGTATGCGAGCATACGTGTCCATAAAGAATGAAAGTTTGGCGACTGATAGAGAGGACGTAGATGTTGCAAAAACACCTTGGTCAGGAGGGGAATGGCTCGCATTCGAGGATCCACATACTCGGCAGCATGAAAATGGGAGCCGAACTGAGGTGAAGTGGGGGTCCGAGCAGACGCTAGCGTCTCTTCCAAGGCGATGCTTTCCAAAAACGCCGACAACAAGGGGAAGAGAATCTGAGGAAATAGAGAGTGCGTGCGTATGAACGCATTGGGCAGGCAGAAAGCTTGAAGTACGAGGGTAGAAGTAAGCAAATATAAGAAACGCACCCTGTCGAAGCAATCCTCCCACTGCGACCCAGACAGAGACTGCAACACAGGAGAAAGGAGTGCGCGCTGAAGATAAGCTAACGCATCTGTCCTTACGTCTCGTCGACAGTCACAACACAAGCGAGCCGTGGCCTGTAGCAGGGGACACCAACAATGGGGCCACAAGAAGCTGATTCGAGCAGCGTGCGACTCATCCTGGTTTTCATCGACCGTTTGCAACGCACTGGAGTTGCATGAAGTCCATTCAGTGTAGATGGAGGTGGCTCGCGTGAACAAAATGTGTATCAGATCCAGTAGCTAGAGCGTAGGAAGACATTGAACCGAAACTGCTGAGTTACGGTAAATTGCATAGATATCACCCGGTCAAAGAAGAGACAAAACGTACGCACCTGAATGGCAATAAATCCGGTCGTGGGACTGAGTGAGAGTTCGGCTGTCGACTTTGCATGCTGCACACGTCGTCCTTCCTCTTCGTCAGGGTCAGAATCAGATTCACAATAGACAGATCGGGTATTGTTAGATAGATTGGCTGGCGCTACCGTTGCTCCGATGGCAAGACCTGACCGCCGCCATGAAGGCGAAACCGACTGTTGCGTAGCAGAGCGCCTACTGCGTTTATTTACACGCGTTGCACGGATAAGGCAGGCCTCTACGAAGATGCGAAGGGTTCGAACGCAATGCTGCAGAAAGTGAAAATGAGGTATGCAACCGTAAATTATGGGGCATCATTCTATGGGTGAGTTTTGTCCAACATGAAGATGGAAGAGGATTCGAAGAGAAGTCGAGACTCGTGATTAATTTTACGCAAGGCGTCCCAAAAAGAGATGACAGCAGTCGGTCTGACATGAAACAAAATGAGTGAAGTTCGCAGTGAAATCTAAACAGCTGTGAGTGGATGTGAAAACAATGGCTTGATACCGTTCGTTTCAGTGGGTAGTTAAACTCGGCCTATAGGGAGAGGAAACAATTGAACGACAGAGAACTAGCCATTACTCACTAACAATGAACAGGCGTAAACGAGCGGTAAGAGTGAAAAATGAAACGGTGCGGCGAGTACGCGTCCAACAGATCACACATAACACATTAGGAGAGCCCCGTGTACGCCACAACAAACACAGGGCCCCATGTGGCCAAGTGCTGTATCGTTTGTTACAATTTAGAATACCTAACATGACAATAAACATTGTGTGAAAGAGCGCTCTGCGGGCTAGAATGACATGAAATCTATTAGCAATTGGTGACGGAAAATAGAGACAATCAAATGCAGTGTTCAAGTCACCCACTTCAAAGTTATCCGGTGTGACGTGTGCGGGGTCACGTATTAGGAAGTCAAGACAGTCGGCCGCGCGCCTCATGATCGTGGGGTCTCTGAAGCCGATGGTTACTTTTAGCTCCAAAGCATCGGAAGGAAGCAGCTGAGATGGAGGTTCTGGTGATGAATCGACGCATAGGTCTCCTCGAATGTTATTATCCGCGGATGGGGCCGACGAAGATCCGGAAGGTATGGACTTACCGTCTTCCGAAACAAATGAAGTAAAAGATGGGAGAAGCTTAGATAGCCGAAAGAGTAGATAAAAGCGCGAACACACAACGACGACGATCGAGATAAGATAAACACGAGCATCAGAGTGGACTGATAGTTAAAGCACTTTGTAAGACCATGTAGCCACTTCACCAAACGTGAGGAGTTAATAGACGAAAACCAGGAATATCGTAGGAAAGGATAAAGAGCATAGCACAGATAGGGAAGAGCAACACGGTGGAGAAGGTCTGAAGTCATTAGAAAACAACAGAGAGAAAACTGTATCCGGAGATAGGACCAATTGGTTGTGCACCGGTATTATCATGTCACACGAAAATCGTGAGCGGACAGAAATGTACTAACCTCTGGGTTCAACCACCGGGGTCAAAGGTACTTCAAGAGAGGGGGCATCAGGAAACCCGGTGGTTGACACGGGATTCTTGTCCACCAATATCCACGCCGCCTCGGGAATGTTGCAGGATGGATGAAGCCTTTGTGGATCGTCCTCTACACTGGACTGCGGTGACATTATTAATTTGGAGGTTAGTAGGGAGAGTGGAGATTTCGGAGGAGGCGAGAGACGACAAAGTGAAGCTGAGGTCTCACTGTCACTGGTGTAACCACGGCCGGGAGGTGAGGAGCGGAGGATACCACGATGGTCGCGAGTGGTTGTGAAATCGTGAAGGCTAGAATCTTTCAGATAAAACAGATGAAAATTGGTACGAGAAGCTTAACGCAACGCAATCAAAGGTCAGTCGCAAGAAAATGTAACAGTGAAACTAACTGGGATACAAAGAGTTTATACATAGAATAACGAAGGAGAAAAAGCAGGTGCACCAAGAAAAACATTGTATGAAGTGTCGCAAAAGTCCCATTCGCACAGGGACGGCCGAGTACTCAACAAACATAGGTGGGCAAAACAGACGGATGCGTGGCCTGTGTAAAGTGCGTCATGCCATCTTTACCACCGAACGCTGCTAACACCATGTGCTGAGACCAATCGGTGCCAAAGGCAACTTAGGTCCACCAAACTTCCCAACTGACTGGCACTCAGATAGTGAGGACACATCATCACTTGCATGCAAGAGGCCTGGGTGCTTTGACCATGTAGAATGTATGACATTAAAGAGCGCCATTAGTGCATCTGACGAATGAACAAATAGATTTACTAGCTTTAGCAATCTCTTATCCCCTTCGATTAATGGACTGCTGTTAAAACTCGCTAACTCAGAAGACATTTCCAAAGACCACTCTGAGTAAATAACAAAGCCAACGAATGAAATGAGGTGACAACAAAGACAAATGAGTCTATTGTGAAACTGAGCTTATTGTCCACCACAATCGGATGATGTTGCACAGCACGCAAAAACAACGACACCGCTCTTCAGCACAAATGACCTTTCCTCAATTGGGCACACATCCCGTTTGTCAGTAAGCATAGCAATTTATCTACGTATGAGTAACGAAGCCGTTGGTATGCATAGAAACCAGACATACTGGACCTTGAATAAATCAAGTAAACAGAACAAAACTCCCTGTGATCTGGCCGAGTCATCAATTAACCAAGTGAGGACTGTGCTTAGTGCGTGCAACGACATGGTGGGTTCGGTTCGCGTCTAACTGGCTGTCTAGTTCTGTCTGGTGAACCCAACCACTCATACCGATTAACCGCTCCCAGCACACTAGGGCTTAAGAATATACGGAGTATAGGAAACCCAACGTGAAGGCTGTCAAAATCGCCATTCCGAAGGTTTGTGTTCATTAACCAGATACGCCTAGCCGGAACGAATGACGCCATCATAGCAGTCTGTGCCACATGTGCACAAGACAGGCGCTAACCACACGAACGCTCTTCGGTGGAGGAAGGGGGTGGGAATGGCGGCATATTTGCTACACACTTGATTCATTGAAGCCACCAGAAGAACATGGGGGCTTTATGGGTTTTAAAAGTTGGTAAGTAAAAAAAAACATGATGCGGGAAAGTTGAGAGAACAAGGTTGTTATCAGGAGAAGCAATAGCCAGTAAAGCCTATCACGGTTAACAAGAGTACAGAACAGAAGCACATGCGGCAGAAAAGGGGGTCAGATGAGCAACAGCTGAGTAACACCTATGGCCTCGTTGAACTCGGTTAGGACAGAAGCGACGTTCTTACACATCACTGCCATGATTCGCTGCAAAAACGCAACACGCCGCAACCACTGTCATCATCAGTAGATGTTAGCTAAAGATGCGAAACACCTCAGCTGTTGTGCAGCAGTACAAAAAGGTAAGATATATGTAGAAAAAACAAGATACAAAAAATAATAGAATAAAAACCAACAGGTAATATACTGCTTAGTAACATTATGCTTCGTGAGTTAGATCGTGGTTAGAGAGGGAGGCTAAAAAGGAAGAGGGACAAAGAAACTGACAACACAAACGCCAATGCGGTCGGCTCCTTGTCATACCAATTAGTCTATCCAAGCGAAGGACTTCATCGTCCGTGGGACCCCAAACCGGCAGCAGGGAGACATCAACTGAAGTGAGCGACTATATTCCTCTTGGCCGAGTCATCGCTTAGGCTCTTCTCCTCTTCCTATATCCATACCACCGGCGCGCAAATAACGCACGTCGCGTGAGTAGGTGTGTTGGCATGTGCCACACGAGGCCCACAAATCGGAGCCTGGTGTGTGAAATAACGGTGCTGAGCAGTTCACTCGCTCTTCATACGCCAAATATACGATACCGAACTCGCTTATTTCTTACGCGGTGCTCCCATCAGATATGAGCTAAGCAGCGATGATCGAACGTAACTAGCCGCTTTACATATGTCGATCTGATGGGGGGGGGAAGGATTCACAACCGTAAAGGTGGGTTGTACGCACCACTGCATTGTAAACAACGCTTCAGGGTGCGAGTGATGTCGCACCGGCGCCACAGGTGTCGGAGATGGGTAAAAAGCGCCAAGAAATTTCGTTAAGCGGTTCGTGACCTCATGTTATATTTTACAGGCGCTAATACAGCTGCCTAAGTTCTTGAATTTCTGGAGGACTTCTAGCTAAGAATCAACGCAGACGTCGGCTCCTGCTAATATTGGAAGGTTGTATTTCAAAGGTGCAAAGCATAGCCCGAAACGACTGACAGCCAGCACTATTTTGGATAGTGCAGTGTGGACCGGTCAGGATCTGTCGGCGGCATACTCCAAATCAAGAAGTCCATCACCTGGGAGCAACTCCGCACCTTTCAAGTCGTGCCCAGTTTACACCGTTTCCATGACTTTGTCGATGACAAAGCTAAAAAGAAAAAATGACGACGTGAGACCTTGACTCAGACCGCTGGAGATATTGAAGGGCGCCGACAGTTTACCATAAGCCCTCACTCTGCAAGAAGTACACGCGCACGTCACTCGTATGATATGAGCCGACAGTCCCAAAGGGCATAAAAATTCGCCAAATAGAAGACATCTTTTATGCCGAAGAACACGACTATGGTGGGTCCCCAATAAATATGGTTGTGTTCCAACAATCGACGAAAAACCGCCTTGTTTCTGGCGCATCTGGCCTTTGCAGATGCCATCCAGTCTATGCAGAACGACGCTTGCTAACAAGGAACTCGAGGGGATTGATCATTTCACTTATATTGGCAGTTGCATCAGCAATGATGGGCGCATAGAAACTGACGTCAGCTCCCGCATTGCAAAAGCCAGAGCTATCTTCTTGAATTTGCGGCATTTTTGGCGACAGAAGAGAGTTTCCCTCCGTCTGAAAGGCAGGGTATACAAGGCCACAGTGAGGGCCGTTCTGCTCTATGGTAGTGAGACTTTGTCCCTTCGGTTAGAAGATCTGAGGCGCCTTCAAGTCTTTGATCGTCGTTGTCTGCGAAGCATTGCTCGTGTCGGATGGCACCAGCGTGTCCGTAACGATGATGTGCGTAGGCGAGTAATAGGTGGTGATAATCATGCTAGCTCCCTAGAACAACAGCACTGAATAAGTTGCGTTGGCTCGGGCACGTGCTACGTATGCCTGGTTACCGCTTACCTAGGAGGGTCTTGTTTAGTCTGCCAGGTGTAGGGTGGCGCAAGGCTCGAGGTGGACAGAAGTTGACTTGGCAGCGGGAAATGAAGTCACTGACGACAAAACTGGATGCCGTTGGTCCGTCTCGCCTTCCGGATTGGAGTCTACGTGATTCGCCATGTACTTGGCTCGAGACTTTACAGGACATGGCTCGCAGTAGGCACCAGTGGCGCGTCTGCTGCCGTCTCCTAATCGGATTGCCTGTTTAAAGTGGGTTTGGCACTGAGTTATCTGCGGGGTAATGGCTAATTATGACGCGGGGCAGTGAAAGCCGCAAGGAAGCTGTCTCGCCGATGCCGCCTTATCTTTGCACGATAGCCAGCTGTTTGTGACGGTATGTTGTCTACACAAGGTGTAGGCGCCTTGACCCCGAATATTTGTTTAAGGCATTAAGGTTTTCAGGTAAGTCCCCCATCTTATTCTTTATTTCATCATGGTTGTATGGCAGCGAAGCATCAGTTCAAATGGCTGATGTACTGCTATTGATGATGATGATGCAGAACAAGAGGCTAGTAACAGACGTGTGAGTCTCCTGTGAAAATTTGGACTATAACATAGTGATTCTAGTCTGTGGGGACAGGTTCCTGTCCCTGCAGCTTCACTAGAAAATGGTGTAAATCATCCACAAGAGCTGGTCCCCGAATTTACACGTCGCGACCCGAAAAGAGGAATAGCAGGGGCAACCGGAAAAGCTGTATGCCCATACGATATACGAAATGATGAATTTACACCTCTGAATTCTCTCTCTTCGGTTGAGGTGCTGGCGGCGTGGTATGTCAAAGTTCACTCTACCGCCCCGCAAACTACCTACTTCATTACACAATTATCCAACCCTCTTGTTTTTGCAACCCACCATTCTTGTAGAGTCTCCAAAACCGCACCGAAAGGAAATGTATTTCCGGCCACATCAATGAGCCGTTTAAAACCGGTCGCTCGCAATCCAGTTGCAACAGTAAGACTTTTATTGCACGCTGCTCGCTATCCAAGCTAGCTATGCTTAATGTTCGAAAACTCATGCAAGCTGGATTATAAGCTGTTCTTGCGCGCACCTTGGAAACTCTTTCCATCCATGTTTGTCGCCTGACATAAACTCGTTTACAGTACTCCAGCAAAACGCGGTGATTGCTCACACCGTTCTCAAGTTTCAGTTGCAAGTTCACCTGTCACTGACTTCGCTGGCGTAGGAGTTGTGTTAGGCGCGTGTGCTGAGGCAGCGTTCACGGACTGGTTTTCAGTCAACAGCCGACTTTATGCAGTCCGCTTGGAAAGCTCAATGCAATTGTCCATTCACAGGATCGGCAGGCGCTGCAGTGCGGACACAGCTAAAGAGGAGTTCTATCACCAACTCACCGACCGCCGCAAGAAACGCCGCATGGGCATGATCTGTGGCTTCCCTAGATGGACTGCTAGCCAATGGAACTTCGCAGTCTCCAGTTAATGGAAACTCGTCGAGCAATTCACACTGGAGCTGAGCAGAAGGCACTGCGCAGATCCAGAGGCGTTGAGTTCAGACAGCTTTTCAGAAAGGATCGCGAGGTCTGGTGGACACATCGCGCCAGTGAGATGGAGCGCGAAGCCACGGCAAGAGACTCCTGCAAACTCATCCAACTGATTCTGTCCACGGGAGGAAGAAGGCCAAC